CAATGATAAACGTATCAACCCCAAAGCCCAAGCACTCCAAAGAATATTGCAATTGTCGGCTCCCGATGTTCGCAAGCAATCTTCTCCCCGCTCGACCGACTTTCCGACGACGCAGTCTTCTCCTAATAACCACCGTATCACAGCGCCCCTTCTTTAGTTTCCTACTCCAAAGGTCCTTACTCCTCCCTCCTTGTAATCCTCTTCTACATATGTTTTATATACACACAGAAGAACAAAATGAAATATTCTAGAACAAATTTTATCTATCACTTTTAGTGTTTCGACACGACAGCTTGTCTCTTATAAAAGGGAATAAGGAGGGCGGTTTGATTTTGACCAAAATGAAAAACAAAAAGACTTCACTATTTTATCAATGTAAAACCAGGTTTCGTTGTTTATAGCTAAACGAGAAACCTGGATTGATTCCTAATAGTTATGCCGACTTTCTTATTTGTTGAACGATCCCTTCTCCGAGAACTAATGAATATGGTACTTTGGTAAACTATGACTCATAGTCTGGTTTTTCCGCTAGCAGGCAATTTCTTCTGTTGCCAGCTTACTGGTCAGCCTGTTGGCGATTAAACATTATGAAATAAGTTAAAATTGCAGCAGTATTTAATTCATTTACTAGCGCGCCGCAGTTATCATTCTCTCAGCGTATTTACAGTCTGATCTGCAAAATCTTCGCACACTATGAATTTTTTCCAAAAATGTATAATTCACAGGTAAATTTTCAGCGTTTCTTCTAATTATTTTCGTATGACTATCATAATTTGTTTACCCTGCTGATGGACGCCACGTATTAGAGACCGTTACCCATGAGAAAGTGACCAACCTACGAGGTGGCGAACGTACACCGAACATTGGATGTTGTCTGGAACTATGCAGCTCAGAATCGAGGGACTTTACATTGATGCGCTCGGCGTGTGGATGAGAGCATCTTAGTAACTTCGGGTACCCACACCGATTACCCTAGGGGTCTTGTTATCCTTAGTGTATCATGACAGCCAAAGTTTCTGTTGCGAAGACCACTAAATCGGTAATTCCTTCAGAAGATGAAATGAATGACAGAATTCTCAACAACGACGACAATTAGACAAAATAGCATTGGTCAAAGCAATTGGAAAAGTTGTTAGCAGCACAGCTGCAAAACCATAGACTGCAAACTGCACTTAAGCCAAGTATTAGAAATATATCATGAAAATTGGTTAAACAATTTGCTTTAAATACCTACTAACATCAACCACAATCTGTTTCTCGCATCCATACATTCCCCAAATTTACTAATAGGGTAAAAAAACAGCGCCGACAATGAAACATGAATTATTAAACTAAAACATTTGGGAGTAAGAAGCAGGTGTCCGGAAAGCCACAGAAAATAGATGGCAGCCAAGAGGATAGAAGTTCTAGAACATCTTCACTAAGTGTTTGATAACATCGAGAGTTCCACACTAACTCTCTGGAGGATTACAGTCTCGGCCAGAGTCCGAGCAACCCTGGTCATGATACTATTAGCTTGATGGGCTTTATGTAAACAACAGCTATTTCATGTTATTGATAATCAACGCTGTGATTCCGGGCTAAAATAAAACTTTTTCAGAACGCTCTCTTCAGGCGTATGGTGCGTGAGGATTTCCCGGATTTAAGACATCTGGCGCAACAAGCATCCGTTGCATTCGTTAATACCTTACCAAATATCGACATCGCACGACCTATTTCCAGTAAAATTGTTTTCATTGGAGGTATTGCTAAGAAGCAAGTAACAGTTTTGGAAAAGGTAAACTGAAAACGTTAATTTTGTCCAACTGGGTATCGGGAAGACAAACGAGTAACATGATTTTCAAAAAAAGGGTACCATAATGCCCAGAAAAGCGGTCGCCCCTCACGAAAGTGTCTGTTGCTGGGTGTTACATCTTGCACCACAACAGCTCAAAAGTTTATTTAAAATATACAACTGGTCGAACGAAATGATTTTGGCAGCAGGAACCAACGCACTGCTGCCAGGTAACTTTTAGGCGGGGGTGTTTAGAG